CATGACTTGCATTTATTGAAAGGAATGTTGATCTTGTGAAAAACATTTCGGTTTGGTAAACCATATAAAACAATAATTGATAGAAGTCTTTCAAGTGCTTGGACATCACACAAAATGGCTAATAAACTATGAAACCAACCATAGAATAGAATACTCCACCAAAATACAATAAAAGCTTGAGACAAGTATTGCAAATAATAAATCCAGTTCTATCTTTTGTTTGATTTGATAAAAAGCCTATACAAAAGAAAGGTTTTATGTTACCATAACAGAAGAGGCCAAACTTAATCTCATGCTTTGTCATTTCAGAGTTCACTGACCATACAGTAGTTTTAGAAGAATAGTCCTATACTTACAGCTCTGGCAATAGTTTGCAAAGGGCCAAGTACCCTGCAAAGGTTTATTAATGAGGAGAAATGGGAATTGTACAGAAAATTCAAACATTGGCCATAAGATATACCTGTATATTTTTTGAAGATGACTGGAGAGCAGGAATGAACCTGTTCTGAATTCCACGACCCATAGCAAGCTGCGGAATTTGCTCCTAGATCAAACACAGCAATGCTTCTCTCTGAAATTCTGAAAAAAACAAGGCTTATTTATTCTTAAAATCAAGTAATAACTAAACTGCGCTAATAACTTCTTGATCTTATTGCTGTCTTTTACATGTATAGTTTGCTTTTTAATGAGTGCTTAAATTAGCACCTCAAACAGCAAAGAAGGTAGACTATTAAAACTGTAAAATAAAAAGTTATAAACAGAGTAATTCCTCAATCTACTATGTGACTAAAGAAATGTAAATTGTAAAAAGTCAAATCTTCCAAGAGGTGAGGTGTTCCTCCTTGAAAATGGGTTAACAATTACAAAACAATATGTCAAAATGTGTTCTTTTCTAACCTACTGTAGACGACTTCCGTGCTCTGGCTTTCATACCACTTACCTTCCATCTGAATGTAAGCTTTTATATTGAGAGGGTGACAACTGGCATTAACAGTATAGTACTTAATATTCAAAGTTTGAAATCCAGTCTGTATTGAATGAATGGAGCGGAGGTTCATCCTAATCACGTCTACTTTAGTATGGCAACTTCTATTAAAGGCTCCATCTAATAGAGATAGAATTTTTATTAGAGCACATTTAGCAGAAGGAACATCCTGGCACCTGCAACTGAATTGCCATGCAAGAACAGTCACTACTTTGTGCTTCCTCATGTTTTATGTGTGCTGGCAACACACCCAATAACAAGTGGTTTATTTTGGAGGACAACGTTTTTAGTATTGCAGTAAATCTTCCTTGTATGCAGGATTAGTTTGACTCACTCATTAGTGCAAACTATATTAATTTATGCTTGGGAGTGCAGAAGCAGAAAAATGAAATTATAGACATCATTAATACTGATTCTGAAGCTTGTCTAATATATCTTATTCCTTTTTTTACTTTAATACTTTCAGTGCTTTCTATCTCAAAGTAGCTATTGCTGTAGTGATTTTCAAAAAGCCAGAAGTAATTTGCTTATCTCTCATTAGTTATTTGACGTATGGTCTCCAGTACATTTAATTTGTATATGATTGTCAGTGTCAAATAGCATAACCCTTCAGCATTTAGAAAGTTTAATAAATCAACACCCAAAGATGCCTATATTGCTATAGATATATATTTTTTGCACACTATTGTTCCTTGAGCAAAACCTACAAGGGCAGTTTCCCAGTTTTAATTTCTTCTGAAAATAAGACAAGGTAAGATGCTGTATATATTTCTAAACAAACTGAGTATTCAGGTAAAAGGGATGACAATTCTGAGCCCACTTCTAGCTTTCCTTCCCTCCCAAGTAAGATCTCCTCCCTCTCTGGAAATTGTCATAGATTCAATTTGTTCCCCAAAATAAGGCAGTCTAAATCAGTGTTTCTCAACCTTGGTAACTTTAAGATGAGTGGACTTCAACTCCCAGAATTCCCCAGCCAGCCAACACTGGTCTAAATACTCCTCCTTGGCCAAAGTTGGCAATTTTCTTTTTGACAGTACTTCTGGCATACAAAGCTGTAATAGAAAAAATTTGCTTTGGTCAATTTTTACTTCTTGCAATGTGTTTAAGAGGCATGTGTTCCCCACAAGAAACAATTAGCACTGTCATCTGGAAGCAATATATTGGGGAAGGCTAGACTATTTCTATGTGAATTCTGCTCTTGCCATGGACTTACTATTGACAGGCCATTTAGCCATCTGGTTTTAATAAAACAAAATTTTGGGAAGGCTACTGCCAAGATTATACAGTAACTGGATAAAGGAAGTGCACCTCTGAATCAAGAAGCCACATCCACTACAACATCCTTCCGCATGAGAAAATATATTTCTGTCCCAGGTCTAACAGCGTCTTCCATTATTTCAAAGCTCAATTTACATCAAAATCTACAACCAAAAGAAGGCCAGGTCCTATTCATCTGCTCCCCATATTTCTTTCGGAAAGACAAAAGTACCAGAAACCCAAATTATATGAAAATGGTCTTAGGATGTTGGTCCATTGTCCTGACTCTATAGGCTGTTAAATATCTAAGCAGGAACATTTCCTTTACTATATAACTAGTATTGATTGGTAGTTTTAATTCAAGGTTTAATGCAAGGACATTGCAAAGCACATGCTTCATCTAGTAGCACATAGCTGTGACTGAGAATTTACAGAAGTTAGAAACTGAATTTGCATCCCTAGGACTGGAATCCCAAAATAACTCCAAATAGTAGTCAAATCTTGCCCTTCCCATGTGCTGAGAGGGAACAACACTAAACTGACCTTTCAATAAAATCGTTATTATTCTATATATTTGCTTTAAATGAATCTTTCCAAGCCCACTCCTATTGCTTTAACTCAACCCTATATATATTTACTCTGAAAGAAAGCCCCACTGAATTGAATGCTTACCCTCTGGGAACCAAGCACAGGATTAAAACTTGAGCAAGCAACACCTTAGATTAACCCCAGACTCTCACTATCAGTTCCATCGCCTGTATGATACAGCCTAAGTAAATCAGAACATTTACCTGACTCAGGTGTGCATGACCAGTGCATGCTAGGAGCTGTAGTTCTTTCTCACAAAAAATTTAACCTCTGTGGAACAGCTGAACTGCATTACCCAGAATGCTTTGTCAAGAAAGGTGTGAGGCACCACCCCATGACCTACCTGAGCACAGGGCAGCGTTTCCCCTGGCAACTGAGAAGATAATGAAGACTCCTCCCTGTATCAGCAACTCAAAGTATTGGCTTCGGCGAGCAAGAGGTTACTTTTGGTATATGGTAGGATAAACTGCTTGAAAGAGGTTAGTTGAATGAATTGAGGTATCATGTCTGATGCTATTTCTCTGGCCCAGTAGGCGGGGCTCAGCCATTTTTTGCTTTGCAAGAAAAAAATCTAGGATTTCAGGAGTAGAGATTAGGTAATCCCTCTGGGAGAAGGAAAGAGAGCCCTGCTCTTTCATTCAGGTGTGGGTCTCAGCAGAACAGACTAAATCTGGCAAACTGAGTGATATTAGGATTGCTGTCTCCAATAAACATTAATCTATTTTTGTAGTACAAAAAATCCCCAACAAAACAATTTAGATGAAGGATAATCTGTGTCTAGTTAAATACTAATGGTGTTTATACTATATATTGGAATCTATCTCATATATAAGCATCATTTCTCAGTCCCTTGTTATCTAGTGAAGTTAAGTGGGAGGAGATTTGTCTTTTCTTTAATCTGGGTTTGAGTCAGTAACCTGCTTTAATTTGAAGAACCTTGGAGTTCCTAAACAAGGCATAATTTCCTAAAAGGCTTGGAAGTTGTTCCCACTCAGTTCATTGAGGCTTGCTCCTAAATCAATGTAGATAGGATTATAGATGTTGGCTATGATCTTAAAAACACTTATTCCAAAGTATGTTTTACTGGCAAAATGTAGTTTATTTTTAATGTGAATAGGATTGTGTTCATATTTACCAGCAAAGAATTCAAATTATTGGCAGGGGAAGGGGCAGGAGAGAAGGAAAGTGCATTACATTCTTATCCCATTTATATGAAAACAAGTTAAACTGATTACAGTGATACTTCCCTCCAAATAGTTTTTTTTTTTAGTCTTTATAAACTTTGTGCTTATGTTCTTTAATAGCATACTGCAATGCATAAGATTGAATTCTAAATATGTGTGTTTAAGATTGCAACAAAACTCTTAATTTCTTATTGAAAAAAAGCACTTAAGTACTATTAACTTTGATTGGAGCATTCTCAGTTTTTGTTAAACAACTGCGCTACTGCTTTTGAGGTTTTTAAAATTATTTATTTAATCAATTTATATGGCTGCCCATCTCACAACGATGACTCTGGGGATCTAACATAGGATTAAAAACCCAAATACAACCAAACAGTAATAAATGTACATTGTGGCAACTGAGTTTTCAAGCTTTTTAAAATAAAAAGGAATTGCTCAGTGATCATATCAGATACGTGGCATTTTATGTGGGAATTGCTCTGTTACATTTGAATTTAGTTCATTATTAAGTGAGTATTCCAAATGAAGCAGAAATCTCTGAAAGCTGCTTCATCACTAAGAAAATCAATTAAATGATGTGGTTTGGCAAGTAAGATTCTATTTTCTTCAGGATATCTTGGAAATGTTTATTTAATTATCCAAAAATTGATCTAAAATTATAGTTAATAAACTATGTGATTTAAAAAAAACACTTTGGGTGAAGTTGTGATACTGTTCACTGATTTAGTCTGTTTGTAATTGTGCTTTTTGAGGAATTCTCATCATTCATGAGCTCTTTCCCATTAGCTTCTCTCATGATAGAATCATATTTATTATTCTAAATTTAGTAAAATCTGCTTTCTCCATAATACACATTCAATTACACCGAGTTTGGTTTCTCTTAAAATCAGTAACGCTGGTGTTCCTGCTACTTCCATTTTGTCTAAAGAAGATGCTTTGTCTTCTGTATTGGTTAGGATCAAATGAAGGATATTTTTCTCCATTCTGAGAAGGAGAAAGTTGTCAGCAAAAAAAGTTAAGATATTTCTGGAAAGACATCTTGGCAAAGTTCACCTCCCAGCAGATATCAAGGTAATTAAAATATACAATTCCTATTTGCCTCTGAAAGATCTACAATCTATAGTTCATTTCCCTGGTTGAACAGATGACAGGACACATTAACAGCAGTGTTGGTTGTATGTATTCCTCTGCTTAATACTGTATTTGCTTTTAGGCAAAAGGTCTAGAAACTAATTTACCTCCTCAATAAACAACAGAGCATTTCTTATTAAATTATCAGTATTCTGCAGTTTCCAGAAAAGCAGCCAAATTTTGTGCTATGACAATTGCTGTTAGAAGTTGCTATAGCCAAACAAAATTCAGTTTTGTTTCAAAGTGAGTCTTATGTTGGATGCTTTGTATTTTAACTGTATATGCTTTTGGTCTATGACCAAACATAAATAAATAATAGTAATTCTTCTGCTTATTTTAACCTATATGTTCTCTACAATATTGTCATGTTAATTTACTTGGATTTTTGATGGCTACTTTTTCCTGTAGTGCAATTCCCTTTCTATTTTTTTTTTTAAATTCTCATTGAACAAACTGTATCTTTATTAGTATATTCCAGTCATGAGAGATATCCAATCAGGTCTCCATTATTCCTATTAAATCTTGTAGTAAGAGTTCAAACTGATCTAATTTATTTTTAATATTTTGAATTATTTCTTGATAACAAGAAAGTAATAAAAGGGCTTCTGAATATTTGCACTTCAGAATATTTTTCCCTTTCTGTTCAGCCACTGGTAGTGTATCCTATCCTTAGAACAAGGGATAGCATGACTTAGGAATGGAGAAAGGATACAGAGGTGAGGACACACAGAAGGAAGAAAGGAGGTTGTAAATAACTGATGGCGGAAAAGGGGAAGTTTGGAACTGCACTTTATTTTCTCCCACCTGGTCAGGTCAGACATTTGCAGGAGAAACCACTTACTGTTCATTTTTAACCCCTGTAAATTTATGTATTTATTTGATTTGTACTTGCTCAAATCACCCAGACTCTTAGCAGTTAACAACAAATATATATACTAATAATACATTAAAATATCATATACCAAGATAGAATAGTAATGGAAATCATCAGTCATTCATCAGCATCAGCTCAGTCATCCATCAGCCCTCCAAAACAGTTCAGTTTTTAGCTGCTTCTAGAGGAGGAAAATGTGACACTCCATTAAGAGCCTGTTCCATTGTGCAGGTACAGCCAATGAAAAGCAGTGCCCATAAGCCTGAATCCCCCTCATGCAGCCGTAGTAGGGAATCACCAGCAGATTTCGCCTGGGACATGTGATCAGGTAGGTCAATTGCAGCTGAAGAAGGTACTTATAGGTATCTTGGAGTCAAGCCATGTAGGGCTTTGTAGACTAAAACTAATACTTTGAATTGTATTTGGAACCCAGTAGAAAGCCAGTGTGGGAGCTGAAGGCCTGATGTGATGTGTATAATTAAATGAAATGCCTTTTTAACTCAAAGGCTATTCTGAAGAAAAGAGGGATTGTTCTGAAGATAGAAAACACAAGACTGTGACTTGGGTCACACTAAACCAAAATGTAGTTTCCTTATTTGTGGCTTAGCATATCATTTGAACCCAACTTTTGTGGTTTACAAATAATAAGTTTAGTTAGCATGTGGTATAGTTCTGTCCAATGCTGGTTTATTCCATACAGCATACTTAGTAAACCACAATTTAGCACAATATGGAAACACAATCTGTACAGGTTTGCTTACAGAGTTTTTGCACAAGGAGAGGCAGAGAGGTAGGCATAATGTTAAGGTCAGAGGGAGACTGAAAATGCAGAACTGCAGCTAGCCCCTCCCCTTAGTTTAACAATCAGAATTATAGTATTATCAGGAATGAAAAAGAAAGAACAATAAACACTTCATAACTGCTATTTACCATTAGAGTACAAAGTGTTCTAAAAAGCTATTGTAGTTTTTTGCAACATTATTGATTGGCAACATTAAAGACTACAGTATTACATTTGGCTTGTTATCAAGTGGATTTGTTGAAATATAATCTTGGTGCAACTGAGAATTACAAGATCTATCTTCACCTGAGGATCAGGACTTTCAACCCTGTAGGACTGATTTTGCATAGCTGGAAATTTGGCAGCATATTATAGATACTCTAACAAAATGGCTATTGGGAAAACTTGTCCCATTACAAAATGGCTCCCATGAGAATGCAATTTGTTCCAAAGCACCATTTTACCCAAATGCTTCCTCTATTTTCCCCTCCCCCAAGATGCACTCTGCTCACATTTGCCCTCTTTCTGAGCAGATGGGCACGCTCTCAAATACAGCACTGGATTGTTATTTTTGGATTTTCAGTCAGAAATGAAAATGCCATCCATTTTTTCTAGCTCTCTAACATATCATTTAGCATAGATAAGGTATGCCTTAATAGAGTAAACAGTTTCTTGCTTTTACATATGGTGACGAAGGAGTGATAGCTATCTTTTGTGTATGCTTAGATAAGGTGGCAATTTTAATCAAGTAACAGTCTGAATACAAGACAATGGAGCCTATCGCTTTTTCCAAAATTGTATTTGAAATGTAAAAGCTTCTATGTGAGAGAATTTCACCTTCTGACTAGTTTTCTTCCAAAATTGAGCTGCTGTCATACAGCCCTCTTTCTCAGGGTTGAGAATTTACAGATGTGCTTATTATGGTACATGCAAATAAGAGGGGAGAAGAAGTTTGAATAGAGTAAATAATTCAGCCTGTAATATTACTGCTGGACACAATAATATTATTTACTAATTGTAACGTAACAGTGCAGTTGTGGTCTTATTTTGCAAAGTTTTCTCCTTCATAGAAGCAAATCTCAGTGTTTTTGTTTGCTAATTGCTTGGGGCTTTTTAGTTTATTCCTTGGGATATATTTTTTTTTAATGTTAACAGCTTCAGAATAACCCTTGCCAAGGTTCAGGAAAGCTGACTGGCCCAGTGTTACAAAGCTGCAGTCTTCACAGCTGCAGAGCTCTTGAGAAACTTGCTTCATAGCTATTGAGTAAACTTCTAACTGAATGCTTGGCTGCTGCCAACAGGTTGGGTGGCTTTTATTGTTTTTTTGAAATATTTAGGTTTCATTTTCCGATCTATGCAGGTGGAAATACGGGAGGAGCAATGATAACAGGTAGGAGGTACTGACTCTCTGAAGTACAGGCTTGGAGGATTGTGATTGGGGGCAGAGAAAGAGAACAAGTCATTGAGGAAGGGCATGAGGTCATAAAAAGCGGGGAATACTTAACTGGCAAAGCCGGTCTGTTGGACAATCATGTGATTAAAGTTGTTACAATAAAGGAGTGTACAGCAAGGGCACACAAGAACTCTTGGCCTTTTGAAGATGCCTGCCTGCCTGCCTGCCTGCCTGCCTCTAGAAGTGGAGGGGAAGCCCTAGAAAGGTAATGCTTCTCACTCTGTTCTCCAATTTGCAGGGTATTATTCACGAATGAGCTAAAATGACTGTGAAATTGCTCTCTGTTTGGCCTTTGCCATTTGTCCTCTTGACTTTCTGCCTTGCCAGAGTGGGTGGACAGGAAAGAATGGCAATTTCTCAAGGTAAGGCAGCAGCTGCTGGTGGTGGTGCTAGTGCTGGGGAGGGGGAATCCTTACATATGTGTTTAAGGATAAATATCCTGGATTTCAGTGATAAAGGCATGCCAT